AAGAAATAAACTGAACAATTATTTGAACCAAGAAAAATCAAGTGGAGTACTATATGACGATTCCTTTTATTCATTGCATTTACTGTATTCCACTTGTATTCTAATTTCCTTTACATCTGTTGTAATTAAAGCATCTCTTTGGAAATCCATTTTAATTTAAAATTCTTAGGATGAGGCTTTATTATTGATTTTTGTTACATAAAGCGTTAATTAGTGCTGTTACACACATACAAAATATTTGCCTCCAATCGTATTTGAATTTCTACAAAACCCTCTATAGTAGTTTTATAGAGGAAAGTTGGTTAATGCGTCTGCATATAAACTGAGACAACTTATATATGCATATTGTTGTCTCAATTATAAAACAGAAAGTCAACGAGGTCCACCTGCTTCATATACATTTTATTCTGAAAATTGAGAGGAAAATCTTGATATACTTTTAGGTATTATGTACAGTATATGTATTTCGACCAACCTGATAATGAAGTCCTAGGAGTTGTTCCCAAGTGTGGACGTTGTACATGAGACGTTCCGATAGCCGAGGATGGATGAGGTGCATCCGTAGTCGAGGATATATGTTGAATAACTATAAATATGTATAATTATTTATTTCACATTACAACCTCAAGATAACCTGTATTCTTTTTTTACCAATAACAATAATTAATTGGAAGGAGCTATCACAAAATCTAACTTCCCTTCTAACCCTTGACCAGTATAAATCCGCAATCCAATTTAATATATATTAATCACTAGCAAACATACGTCTGCACCCCATAGCGTCATGGATCATTGATTACCGGTTGCTTTGTGCAACAATGAAGATAATTTAGGCATATAATAATGTGCAAAATACCTGTATGCACATTAAATTTATGATCTTCTAATCCCTGTTTACACGATACTGTTGCCACTAAAATGTTCATCGATGCATCATTCAACTTTAAAAGAAATCCATGTGACGGACGTGAAGTCCATATTTGTCGATCTGCTAGTGTCTAAAAAAATAAATAATTGTTTACACATTAGGAAATCTAAATAAAACTTGGTATATCTCATTTCATTATCATCAACAACATCATCATCACTATTACAATGACTGATTTCTAACCATGCATGACAATTTGGACTTTTCAAAACCACTTGAAAACTGACCAGATATTTTACTCTAACAGATGTTCTGGATGCCATACATGTTACCAATTATGGGTATAGACGTGGAATACGACTCTAATGGGGTGCGTTGTTGTTTCCGTCGTCATCGTTGTATTATTATTATTATTATTATTATTATTATTATTATTATTATTATCATCATCATCATCCTATCATTAGCCTCATCCTGTTTATCATCATAATCCACATATCATCAAATTAATGTTTAAATTATAAAAGGAAGTGCCTTATGATTTTGAATATTATAAACATTGAAGCATTCATACCACATTTCTTTGATCATGTACTTCCCAACCATTGAGCAAGTCACCTATGCTGATTTCTATGTCAAGAAACTTTGCATTAATTGGCTTAAAGATGTCCAAAGCTTTTTCATCTTCTTTCATTTCTTCTTCTTCTACCAACTAAAATAATGTTAACACACTATCAGTCCATAATGTAGGTCTACATATTAATATAGTAACTATGTTATTTTTTCTTTTCAAACATGCAAATAAAACAATTTTTAGAGTTTATGTACCATGAAATGAGCAAAAAAATGAAAAATCTGCTGATGCATCTAAAGCTAGAAATGTATCCCAGCTTTCAGTTTTTATTTACAACCAGGTTCAACATAATGATGGAATCTCTTTGCACACTGAATAAAGCACAAATTAGTCCTACAAAAGCGGACCCTAGATTTTCTGAATTTTTAGTGCGGTCGGGTTGGGACAGCATAAAGTTTGGGGTTTCTGCCTTGATAAAAACATTCAATGCATTCATGGATGTATCTAAGCTTATGTTATTACATATTGCCAGACAAAGAAACAAAATGCTGTGCACTTTTTTTTTGTACAGTATATCTATTATTCAAAATGTCCGGTTTTGGCACGTCAAAGATAATTAGCACAATTGTCTAAGATTGCTCGTCTCAGAATAGTCCACTACTTGTAACAATGAAGGTATAACAATATATACCTCTATGTTGCAACTAATGACAACATTTTTCGTCAATTGTATATCTATGGAAAAAAAATACCGCAATTTGGCATACCTTGTAATCATGGTCACTCCAAATCCTTACTCGAAGTCGGAAATAGTGTTCTTTAAGCATCTTTCCAAACAATCCCAAAGTCAACTTTTTTCTACCACTACATAATTCTACAAGTTTTCCAAGTAAAAACCATTGAGTGAAATGATTTGTCTGTATATAACATCGTCCATTTCGTACAGTAAAAGTAGTATTCTTGTCATCCCCTTCTATTTTTTTCCAATTGTCGAGGAAGTTTTCCCTCATTAGTAGAGTGAATTCCCAAAAGTCTTCGTGGACTGCATTGTGTGGAAATGAAAGGGAACAATGTTTGTTAAAGATAGTACCTGGTGGTCTACAGTAAACTATGGGTGAAATTCTTGATTCCATGTGATTAGAAAAAGGTATATCACTTGCATCTACTGCAAGTTGTTCAAGTGATATGTCAACCTGAATGTCTTTCGCAATTGCACCGCATGGTATTTGTAACTCGATCCCGCCAAGTTGGAGATCACCACCATTAGAGTCCATAACTTTGCTAGTTAAATCTGTTGATTAAAACATGAAAAACATAGTACTAATTACACAGTTTGCATTGAATTTTAAGACATTTTATGTCTGAACTGATTTGTCTATAAAGCGTGGAAGCGGTTTAGCGCAGCGTGAAAGGTTTGGTTTCCCAACCTCGAGGTCGGTGTTTCAATCCCTCGCTGTGCATTTCACTTGTGTCCTTGAGCAAGACACTTTATCTGCATTGCTTCTCTCTAACCAGGAGTATAAATGGGTCCCTGGTGGGGTTGCTAGCTCCTGCGCTGAATACAGCAGCAACACTTAGCATGTGGACCCAATGACCAGGGACAGAAGCGCTTCGTATCTGCAAAGAAAGGCGCTATAAAAATAAATATGATTGGATTGGATTGGATTTATAATTAACAATTTAGCTTTCAATTTCAAATGTTATTCTTTAGTTGCCTTGCAGTCGCCAAAAGGAATAATGGTTCTATTCGTTTACAAACTGAGATTTATAGTAGTTGTCTCAGTTTATACATTATAAAATTAACTTCAAGAAGGAAACACTATAAAAGTCAACTTGGTAGTGTTAGTGCATGATCTTTGTAACAATTATTGGAATATTAAAATTTCTCCGTTCATAAGTCCTATTTAAAAAATATAAGCTTTGGTTTTTCGGATTTATTACATTCATTTTAACCAAATTAAATCAAATAGGCCTATATCAAATTATGAATAATTTAAGGTAACACATGCATATTTTCTATGTACAGAGGCGTACAGAGAACCCTGATACTCAATACTGCCTTTGAGTATCTGCACATACTTATATTATGGAGAGTAACACTGCCTCAATGGGATAATTTGGTATGCGGGTTCTGCTCGAAATTTTTCTGGAATTAATTTGGATTTTCACTGAGGCGTATAGACTACCTTGATGTTTTTCTGTTGAATTTATATTGTTCACAAAAAAACAAAAAAAAAATACACGATACCACTTTTCTCTGTCGACGCAATGCTGCTCCTGTTGCAGTGCACGGTAGTGGATCCCTGGGCTTGTCCTGGGGTGAAAGGTGCGATGCTCAACATACTGCCTTTGGGTATTTGCGCATACTTATATGGGGAGCAACATTGCCTCGATGGGAAAATTATTCTGGGAATTATGGATCTTGTTGGTTGAGCACATTTGGTGAGATGTGCGCTTTTATAAATAATAATAATAATAATAATAATAATAATAATAATAATAATAATAATAATAATAATAATAATAATAATAATAATAATAATAATTATTATTACTACAGACATTGCGGGTGAGATAAGAACAATTTGTTTGCCTGTTATTTTATAATAAAAATGGTAGGCCTGAATGCTGTCTCTTATACACATCTAGATGTGTATAAGAGACAGATCCATACTAAGTGTAATCTATTATTATTATTATAATTATTATTATTATTATTATTATTATTATTATTATTATTATTATTATTTTTATTTTATTATTATTTTTATTAATATTATTTCTTATTATTTATTATTATTATTAATATTTATTATTATTTATTAATTATTATCATTATTATTATTAATTATTTTTATTATTAATATTATTATTATTATTCATTGCATTTTGCTCGTATGTTTTATCTATCTTCGTTAAAAACAGACTACTTGTAATTCAATACTCTTTACTCTTATTCATTGCATTCACTGTGTGTTTGGGGTTCTCCCATACAGTATCTTCAAATTTTCTTTACATGTAATATAGTGTTCTATAAAGTATCTATTTGGAAATCCGGTCTAGTTTCAAATTTTGAAGATGAGGTCGTTTCATTGTTTTTTGCTACATAGTGCGGTAACTAGTCCTATTACGCACATGCAGAAAATAGTTGTTTCCAATCGGATTAAAATTTCTACAAAGCCCTCTATTATAGTTGCTTCAGTTGGTTAATGTGTCTGATACAACAGAAAAATATCAAGGTCCATTTCTTTTATACGTTTTACAGTATAAGTGTGTCTACGACCAACATAAGCATGCAGGCCTATGAGATGCATCAGTAGCCGAAGATGAATGAAGTGTACCAATAGCCGAGGTTTGAGGAACCATGTCAGTAACCAAAAATTGAATACCTAAATTATAGGAATAATTATGTGTTTCACATTATTGTTATGTACATGTGTTGTTGCACATATTACACATAGGCCTACAAAGTCGTATTAATTCACTATTTGTTTCAAAGTTAATATCCTTGACTAAAGTATGTTTCTCATCAGCGTACCTATACACACTGAGTTGTTATAGCCAGATTTGTAGAGGACAATAAAATCCAGCAAATAGAAAGTATCTCTCTGGAAATCCGGTCTGAAGTTGAGGCCGATTTATTGTTTTTTTGTTACATAGCGCGTAATCAAATGCTGTTACGCACATGCAAAATAGGTGACATCAATCGGGTTAAAATTTTTACAAGCCCTCTATAGTAGTTGGTTCAGTTGGTTAATGTGTCTAGATATACAGCATGAAGACATCAAGGTCTACCTGCTTTATACGTTTTACAGTATAAGTGTATCTACCAACCTGTAACTATAGCCGAGGATTGATGAGCCGTATCCGTAACTGATAGTTTATGTAGAATACCTATAATTATATAAACAATTATTTGTTTCACATTATTGTTATGTAAACGTGTTTGTTACAATCATCACATATAAAAGCTCTTCTTAATTCACTGTTTGTAAAATCCTTGATAAAACGATGTTTTAGGGGTTCTCCATCAGGCGCCTAACATGGGTCTTGGGTCAGGGGAGAGGGCAAAGGTAATAATTTTCCCGGTTAGTAATTTATCATACCCACCCCACCTTCTCCCA